CCCTACCTTCCTGTGGTCATGACAAATTTATGGGGGAAACACGACGCGTTGTACACAACATGCTGTGCTACGAAATGTCAGGCCGCTTCCCGACACGGTCGGTTCTCTCAACATAGAAGACCGAAGGGCGTAAAGACTATGAATTCCCATTGCCGTACGACTGCAAATTGTATTCACATACTCGTCTATCAGGTTTAACGCGTTCGCTCCAGTGTTTACGCTCTCCTGTCAAGAGAAACACGATTGTCCCAATGCCACAGTTTAGCTCTCTAACAACCAACTTGTCCAAAACCCAGGTTGTTGATTGACATGCACTCAACCTGTTGTTTTTGCTCCCACTTCTGTTGAATTTCTTTGGTGATCTGACGGTGTTGTCCTGATCTGGATTGCGCCAATCTAAGCATTTATCTTCGGACCAAATATCACGCTCTGAATCACACGTTTTCGTGTATCGTAGACTACAAAGATTGACAAAATACCGCACGTTAAGGGCCGTCACTGAGGATATCTACGGCCAAACAATGCGAAAACCAGTAAGGGAAATCCGAGAAAAAGATCTATCGCTTTGTGTGTGTCCTTATGGCTTGTTTCAGAAAGAAACCAATAGCTGAAATGGGAAGACGAAAGATTGGTCGGCTGAGAGAAGCGTGTGTTTCGTTTGTCCTCATTTTATCCATCGTAGAACCAGTAAAGTTGACCATTTAAAAAGCCGAAAGAGGTATACACGAGTGTGCAATTCGGAATGGGATTTTTTTGTTTTGTTTTTTGTTTATCGCGCGACTCGTTCGAAATTCGTTTCGATGATGGGGAGATCAGTACCCAAACATTCGTGACCATTAGTTATTTATTTGCTTTATCACGCAGCATGGCGTGTCACTGAATGCATCCACTAGGCAAACATTGGCTGTTCGTCCGACAGGTGGTCATGTGTGACGTGTGAAGGAAAAGGGAACTACCACATCGCCATATCAGATGTACTATAACATTTCCAAGCCCTTTAAGTGCATACACCTGGGATAAACAGTAAATGATCTATGGTGTGGCACGCAACCTTGGGAAAATGCATACAGTCATTTGGAGTTTGGTAACAAGCTTCAAACCATGGTCAGACAGTCAACCTACCTCCACCGAACCGATTATTGCTTTCGGATGGTCGAACGACGCAGGATTGCATGCTCACTCAAAACGATTGGGTGCAGTTCCATGCCTAACTGCGACAGGAAAACAATCCTCGAAGGGAACTGGAAACTCGGACGACCGGTGAACCCAATGGTTGAACCAACATCTGGAACTTCTTCTGTGGCCTGGAGTGCTTGTTCCTTCTGCACACCTAGAACAAGCTATAGCAATGGGGTTTCCAATGCGCAACAATAATCAAACTTAGAAGACCTAACTTTACAAATAGAAGCATCAGATCCTTCCTTCATATAGCCACAAGTTGCACTCGTCGCTCACCAGATGGTCCAAGTGGTTAGAGCGCAAAATGGTTGACCGCAAGGTCTGTGTTTCGAACCCGACCTCTGCCTCTCGACTTGGGCTTGGGTAACCTGACAGTATCCCAGCCCTCGTGCTTCCTTCTGAGGGCATGGCAGTTAGGCACCGAAAGGGTGCTACAGCTCAACGATTCTTCGATTCCGTCGCTCACCAGGTAGTTACGAATTCGTTTATCTCGTCCGGTTATTAGATTAGAAAACGCCAGTTAACAGATGATTTCAACGTGGTCAACAGTCGCAGATGCGGTCATTTTTTTGGCTGTTCCACATGATTTTACAACCCCATGCCGAAAGCAACAATAACTTTGAGAGAAACAAACTTATCATGCAATAGTGAATAACCACCAGTTTCTTGTGCAGTTTCGAGTTTTGTGGTCATGTATTTCTTTTGTCCTTAATGAATATTGGACCATGTCGATTTCAATGTGTATTCATGGCTTTTTTTTAATGGGGTACCATGCTTCCATGAACTCAGACTCGTTCTTTGTCCTTGCTGTGGATATTATGTGGACTTCGTTCTAACCGAATTCACATTCATCCAGATTTTCGCACACAGAAGAGAGTAAAAACTGATAGTCTTTTGGCGGCAGGCTTGTTCCTGTAGTCTAGCAGAAACCTTTCTTCCCATCTGTTACACTTAGTGTTTGTCGTAATCTTTCCGCTGAATCCTGTACATGACGCGGGTCATCGTCATTGTGTACTTTTGTTCTTCAAAGGGCCCCTCCGTTTTTTAGTGTGTCGTCGTGACGGCCTTTCCGAAATGCCTTTGATTTACGAAAAATGGTTATTCGTCTGTCTTCTCTTTGTGTTATTGATTCATTTGGGTTGGGTTTTCTGAAGCTTCGTCAAGTACAAAAGTACAAAGTTTCTGTCCTTTAATCGCATACTCCAAGGTATTGCAGTGGGTGGGGTGGTTTGAATGATAAAACTGTGGTGGTCGAAGTTCCTGTCTGTGTGCGCTGCCCTCCTAGTTCTTGGTAAGTAGATATCCATTCGGTAATACTGCGATAAGAACAACCAGCCAGCTTTCTATCATTTTCCTCCACTGTGAAGTGTATGTAGCCAAAGACGTTGCCTGTCAGTAAGCTGAAACGTTGTCGAAAAAGCAAACACACTGGAGAGGTCTAACAAAATGAATCCATTTGATAGACACCATGCTAAACTACTCAATAGCGCTGGAGGAGCAAACGGATCAATGGAGTAGGGAGAATCCTGCGAACTGATCAACTGAGGCCTAATTACACACTTTGAATTTGATGAAGAGTAGTATGAACAAATAGAAAGAGCAATAATCGGGTCCGAGTTTCAGGAGTTACAGTGGAAACTGCCATGCAGAAGCTGGAACGGATTGTACTGACAGGTGGGAATTCCAAAATGTCGATCCGCTACGTAAACGACCCTTTTGTCATCAGCAAAAGAGTGCACTACAGCCAGTCATCTTCATTTCGCTCAACTCCGTGTAACTTCATATTCGGTTAGTCGGTAGTTTTTCAAGATCCGTCCTTATTTTCCAGGTTCGGTCCCCAGTCCGACTTATACACGACAGATGACATTGCACTCAGCATCGAAATTGAAGTTCCGTTTCGATAAAGAACAAAGTGAAACTAGATTGGGGTCAAAAGATGATGCGAATTTATCACGGGTAGCCTGAAAAATAGCAACACTCAAGTAATGAACTGGATGTGGAAGAACCCTTCCCAACATCTAGGAAGAAAGGTTGATCATGGTATCTCGCCGGAACCAAGAAATAGGTACTTATAATGGTGTTCGTGCAAGATCGAAAGACAGAAAATCCATACCATAACGAGATAAACAAAATTCACCAAATCTTTTGTAACATCGGTCCGTATTTCAACTAGGAGCTGAAAGTACAACAAATCGAGAGGGCATAACAAATGGTGGTGGGCTGGATGCCTCGACGTCGATTGATGAGGAGGCCATAAAACGTTATGAATATAGGACGGAAACGCGAACCTTTTTTTCAAACAATTTCGGATAGCTCAGTGAACTAGGAATCGGAAAACAAGAAAATGGTGGTGGGCTGGATGCCTCGACGTCGATTGATGAGGAGGCCATAAAACGTTATGAATATAGGACGGAAACGCGAATTTTCAAACAAAACAATTTCGGATAGCTCAGTGAACTAGGAATCGGAAAACAAGAAAATGAATTGCGTGGATTTTTTCATTTTTTTTATCACGATGAAAGTGAAAAACACGACTTCAGAAATCCCGGCGAAAGAAAACCTCACAACACTCAAAAAGGACAAAAATGTTGTTCATAGTTGGTCTCCGGTGAAAATCCTCGATTGTTGTCTCAGTTGTCTGAACAAGAGACCGGTAGGTGAACAGAGGGGGGGGCTAAAACTTCGAACCATATGGGAACGGTGGCATTCCTTCCTCTGGCAGCCGGGAACAGAGCAGTGGGAATGCTGCAACGCAGAATATCGCAGCATGTTTATACTTCAAACTGGAAGTGTTATATCTGTCGATTCGCCAATCTGTTGTATCGGACTGCTGAAGCGCTTCCAGTGCCTAGTGTCGAAGACTCATAACAGCTATATTCCGGACAGGCGAGTGCGAGAGCGTGAGTGCAAACGTACAACAGCCTCAAGCTATTTATTGGAGGGATTCTGTCTGAGCTTGGTCCAACGCTGACGCACACTATATAGCTTTGATACAAGGCTGTGACGCGCTGCATATTGGGGGTTGTGTCTGTCTGGGTCAGCATCTAGCGGAGCTGTGGGTCTCAGTAGATTTCGGGCATTCAATAGTTGCCTTCAGGAATCTGGTCTTCCTGATGGGAAGAATACCACTGGGTGATGTACGCTGAAGTGAGTTCACCTAATTTTCTCAAGACCTCGCACTAGCCATCACTACAAAACTGGGTGCAAACTCCAAAATTCCTACACACGAACTGTGACACACAACAAGTCGTTTTGTTCGCCCGACCGTAGCCAAAAAACCGCTATTGCCACACAATACTCAGTAGCATTCTGAGAGAGTTATGCAGTGCGTGTACTAGAAGGCTCCCCCACCCCTCAGACAAACACTCTTCCGGGATAATTTTTGTGGCACGGAATCCTCATCGTAATATTCGTTTGGAAAAACGATCCCACCAGGGCCGAACAAGAAAGACGCTTTCCAGTTACTCAACCAAATTAGTCACCAGTCTCAAGAGAAAACAGCAAACTGAAAATACTGGTTGTCATCGGTTAGGTGTCTCAGTTTCATTTCATTGCTCCTAGGGATGGTACTACGGCTTTGATACGGCAGTTTTTTGTCTTTTTAAGTGTATTTATTGTTGCAGTGTTTATTACGTGCCTGGTGAGGCAGAGCCAACAAATCCGGAATATCGCGCAAAATTGCGCTGTTGTGTTCCGTCTTCGACGGCAGAATGAGCCTAGTTTATCGAATCCAGAAACGAGATGGACTACCGCGAACAACAAGAATTGCTGGGGTTGTTGCCACTGGATGGCAACCTCGTGTGCGTCGCTGAACTCGAATTCAGGTGTAATCATAGGCTTTATGCACTCAGAAGATGAATTATCAGTGAGCGTAAGGAAAAAAATGAGCAGTCACACTGACTAGCATTCCTGGTTGCTGAAAACAAACGGTTGCCGAATTCAGACGAAGTGCGATTTGATAAGAGAGGTCTCAGGAAAAGTAGGCCAGAGGCAGTTTCAAAAACACACTGATCATGATGTGATGGGAAATCAATCTGTTGTAAAAAGTTTGTACAAAATTTCCAAATGGAATATTCGAAAAATTGACCAACATTTTAGTTGTCATTGGCACTATGGAAAGACGTGGAATGCATAACAGAGCGACAGTCAGTCAAGATCACCCTCTGTCATACGCAAACCATCTGAATGGATGGACCAGAAGTTAACCACACCATCATCTCCAGCAGTACAAAGATGGATGTTTGTTGAGCACCTTGAGGCTGGAAGCGGTCGCCACTGTACACTGTTGACGTCTTCCGGGTGTGCCGCAGGAACATGACCCCAGAGTACCGGTGGATCGATAAACTCAGGCCGCCCGGCCACGTTCATCAAATCGGCGCTCGGAAGCTGAAAGATACACAGGCGGTTGTCGGCACCTCCACTGGCAAGCATCTGGCCATCTGGTGACCTTTCCGTTGATCAAGGTGAAATGGGGAGAAAAAAATCCGATGAATGGTAAACAAAATGTAGGACTTTCTGGAAAAAACAAGTAAAACCTCCAGGTAGACGATCCGTTGGAGTAAAAGAAGGTAAACAAAAGCTAAATTCAAATCAAATAGTTCAGATACAGTCCGTTTTTTGTTTAACTGTAGCATAAAAGCGAAGAAATAGCGATGTCCGTGGTGAGAACGCAACAGTACAAACACGGGCAAACAGAATGAGAGAATCGAACTACCACATCCGATGTTTTAGTTTTCGCGCTCACAGTTCCCTCTGCACTCCCAAAGGCCTGGCAATTGCTAGTGGACTTTTAATACGATCACTCCGGTTCTTCAGTGATCGCTGATAAGATCGACCAACCATGGTCGCTCCCGAGGGGATGAAGCACTGACTCAAACTCCCATCCACTCTTATGTGTTAGTTGCGAAAAAAACGCATCCGACTGGGAAAAACCCACGTTACACAAACCGCAAACACCTCAAGCACAAAAACATCGCCATTTGTTCGTCAGCTGTGGAAAGGTCGCACTGTCATCAGCCGCACCTGCGGAGATTCACTTTGTGCTCCATGCTTATAAACAAATGCATATTGCAAAAAAAACCAACACGCATACAAAGTGATGAGATACACAGTCTCTTAAAAATGCACGCGCATAATCACACACGCCCATATGCCCAGCAAGACGAGTTTCATGGTAGATTCGGAAAACTGTGTTTCTAACTTAATCTTGGCAGAAATCTTTTAAGAAGACCTAAATGACAAAGCAAAAGCAATCTCATGCTCCAGTGAGCCTTTATCATGCCCAACGGTTGTTCGACTTCTAAGTATCCCGTCTGGAGAGACCGGCTTTAGCTATTTTCGGACACTTTACAAAGACTACACTTGTCAATTCCGGTATTGTACCGAGATAGGCTACCAACATCGCCTTTGATGGAACCTTCTTTGTAAGCAAAACTGCTGTTGCTGTTGGTCCCCGAGATCCTTCCTCAAATAGCGTCCTAACAAGATCACCAAGAATATGTTCATCCAGACGTGGCCAACACCTTCTAGCCCTAACAACCAACAATAGTTGTTTTTTGGGGCAAGTGCCTCGGAGATAAGTTATCCACGGATATGTCATGAAATGCCCAAGGACACATTTTTTTTAAATTCGGCAATTGTCCTTTGTCAAACTACTAACTGTCCTACATATCTCCCATCCTGAAAAAAATCGTTTATTCTTCCAAGCATCCCAATCATAATTTTGTACTGTTCGCTTGCGAGTTTTTGTGCCTTGTCCAAGGTTAACTTTACCGCCACCGAGAGCTAATTTAGAATGCCGCTCACTTCCGATAACACATTGCGGCTCACTGGTCCAAGGAACTTGCACTTGTCCCATACAGCTGATTGCAGTAAGAAATAGTGCGAAAGTATGCGCATCAGGAATTGCCAAATGCTCACGGACACATACAAGTCATGAGGTGACATCAGCAGCCAGTCGACGATCGCATTCAAAAAGGTGCTGCAGCTCTTTCATGCTGTCAAACTGGAAGGATACCCGAGAATAGCTTTTTCTCAAAGGAACTGACAGTAAGTAGTCATATTTGGACTGAAATACTTACGAAAACTGGTTTTTCCCAAAGGAATAACGATACGGTTAATTTGTCCTCACTCCTACAAGTCATTATCTACTCTACTTGCATTTTAACTACCTCTGAACACAAGACCAAAGGCATCCAATGCTAGATAATAACTGTTTGGTTAAAGTACCATTCCGGTACCTAAATGCCACGCCACCCGAAAGGAGCACGAGGGCTGGGATACTGACAGGTTCCCTAAGCCTAGACAAAATTTGAGATGCAGAGGTCGGGTCCGAACCACGGACCTTCCGGACAGTAAATTCACGCGCTAACTACTGAGCCATCTAGTCCTCAGCTTTCATGGTAGCTTGTCAAAACTCTCCTCAATCTACCTGTATTCTTCCGAGCTCCGAAAGATATCAGGATGGTCAGATTATTGAAAGTAAACTCAGAACACCCAGAACCTACTGTTCCACCAAAATCTCAACAGGAAAGCCGGCAAGCATCCAGGCCAGTCAATTATTCAACCAATTCAGCAAAAGCCGATGAGTGCTCAGGCAGGCTCCTCGAGCAACGACTTCTCAGAGGAAGTTTCACTCATCTGGTGAAGTTTGTTCTTCCACTGAGCTACTTATAGATTGTTGATAGTGTGAGGAGATTTGGGATTTTTGTGGAGATTTCGTCCTGTAAGTGAAGCCAATCTATGCTGAAAAGCCGAGAAGCACTGTACAGCTGTTTCATCCTTATTGGGAATCATCAGCAGTGCGCATCTCACGAAAATCCGGAGAGTCTCGAACTCACGACCTTCTGGCTTAACCATTCGGCCACGAGCGGCTGATCAGCAGTGTGATTAACTCGCACTTAGACAGGATATAGCGCCGTTCATCCTTCAATCACGGGATCCATATCACACGGTCACAGTCTATCTCATTCCGCAGTTTGCCCGATAGGACTACTGAATCGAAACGCTATAATTTTCCTGGAAAACTAGCTTGACAAACAGACATATAGATTAATTTACAAATCTCTCGACAGGGCAATTTGTGATTCTTCTCACCTCTTATATCCTAACTACAAAACTGTCTTGGCACACAACGTCGGCCCATAAAAACCTCATTATCTCATGTGGTTCGACTCGAGACCTGGCATCTAGGTTCGAAAAAGAACTCTTCGAGATGCTATCGACAAGAGCCAGTTCGGTTGGAATGTACTAACTAGTCTCGTGAGTGCGATTCATTCCCAAATGACATCTTTATACCCACATATTCTTTTTTGACAAGTCCGTCATAACGGTTTCGACCTTAACTAACAATGACCTCTTGTCTTGTGCGGACAGGCCGCTTCAATTGGGTCGTTTAAGCTCTATGAAGCGGTCATCTCTCAGATCGGACTAAGGACCCTTTTGGGGCTAACTCTGGTCAAACACTTATCAGAACGGATGAGCTTTAACAACTCAAGATCAGTTGAAGGAAACAATCAATCAACCTCTGTCGAAAACTATACACGAGATACTGGGATATTTTGCAATAACATTATTTATATATAAGGCAAAGGAATATAACAGTGGAAGGTTCAACCCTATTTCTTCCGATGGCACCCAGACTTGTGTTCGACAGAATCCTTTGATACAATTAGAGAAAATCAACTCCCCTCGTCCAAGTTCTTTCCTCTCATTGCCATGCGATTTTGAATCTACCAAAAATAAGCACCACCAACTTAGGAGCAATAATTTTACCCGCGTGACTGCACGTGCGCGTACCATCACAAGACTAGTTGTTCGTCTTCCGTTAAACAGGGAGAGATGGCTCAAGTGGCTAGAGCGCGAATTTACTGACCAGAAGCTCAGTGGTTCGAACTCGACCTCGGCCTCTCGACTCCCCATGTCTAGGCTTGGGCAACCTGGCGGTATCCCAGGCCGCGTGCATCCTTCGGCTAGCACGGCAGCTAGGTACCGGCGGGGTGTTACAACTGAGAGATTTTTCTCTTCCGTTCAACGATAGGCGGAAAAAACTAAGCGTTGTCCTGAATACCCCGACATTATGGAGATATTCTATGGCAGATACGTTTATATGTTAAGTGCACAATTTCATATGGATGTCATTGAAGCAGGCTAGAATCGCCTTCGAGCGTCTACCCGAAACTCCAAGAGGTAATGAGGTAATATCGCCCTTAATTTACCGGGATTTCCAACACCTGACTGAGTTATGTGGCTACCCCAGAAAAACGTCCTACCCTACGCGAACTCGTGTTGTAAAAAATTGTACAAGTGAGGTCAAATATGATATGTATGATATGATATTTATAAGAGGTCCGACTAAAATCCGGGTTCTGCAGGACCTCGAGGAAGGGAACCCCGCCTGTAAGATCTAGTAAAAGTACAAACGCAACCACATCCACACTATGATTATGGTATATATTTACAGCCGAGGATGAGAAGACAGGTCCCTAAACACATCAATCCACATAGACTCAGGAGCGGGCCTACCGTTCGCTAGATTCGCCAGGCGTAGGGCTAAGAATACGTATTCGTGTATACTACTATAAGTAGTATATAATATAAAACATTCCGAATAGGCGTCATCGATGCCAGCGATGCTGGAGTAGCGCATGCGTGCTTAATGCTTAGGGAACTCAACTTCCTTCAGGAATATGGTCTGCTTGGCCATTTTATAGATGCCGTAATGTCAAACACATAAACAGTCAGGAGTAAACGCGCTGTCAACACACCGCAAAAAACAATAGGTTACATGAGACGGTTGAGCCATTTTTTATGGTAAGACAAACAAGTGAAATGCTTCGTAGTTCCACGAAAAACAAAATTCCTAGCCTTAACCTTTTTTTCTGAACACCTCAATCTTGAATCCCTGTCTTATACAATGCATAAAGCTTGGTCAAAAACGTGAGCTCTGTTCTGCTTCCCTAGGACGCACAATCGGTGAAAGATGGAAGGAGTCAGGGATCTCACAGAACAGCTTGAAAAAATTATGTGGGCATTTAACTACAAACTAATCACTGTGCCTTTGCCTGTTTTTTACAGCAAGGTCTCAGGTAACGAAAATTAGGTACAGATGATTTTTTCGATCAGCCTTAACGTGCTTGCTTGCCTGTTTGTTTGAGTAATGTTTGCAAACCTGGACTACTTCCTGTCCGATTAACTGAGGCTTTTGGTAACAGAGACTAATGAATCACGCGGAGTATATGGAAGACCGCCATTACCCTAGCTGCAATACAAAAGGCCACCTACCACAAGAGCAAACGAAACAGTGGTAAATGGAAGACAGCCTTGGTCGAGTCGACGGCGTGCACCCTTGGAGGTCCATTCTGTGTAATCAGCTAACCAATCCGCACGTGTAATTTCGCGTTTTTCTGTACTAGTTGGACAGAGAGTACCTCAGTCTATAATTCGCCGTCTTCTGATTTTGCTGCCAACTACAGGGCGCGTTTCACGATAAACCGACAAAAAACACCATTGCATCTTTTATTGTGTCCCTTATGCTCCTTGTGAAAAGAATAATGTAGGATAGGACAGATCATAGTTGCCAATATATCAACTTCCACTGATCGAAACGCTTTCCGGTAGTTTAAAGAACTGATTATGCCGCCAGAAAGAGCCAACTAAATTCCAGTCGCCTGATGAAGTTAATTGACGGAGTTTAAGTTTCCTCCAAAGGGTGTTTTGTGGGATTACCGCTCAGCTGTAACACCCTTTTGGTCCCGAACTGCCATACCACCAGAAGGAAGCACGAGAGCTGGGATACTGCCAGGTTGCCCAAGCCTAAATATGAGGTCGAGATGCAGAGGTCGGGTTCGAACCACAGACCTTCCGGTCAGTAAATTCGCGCTCTAACCACTGAGCTGTCTCTCACCCAACCCTTTTGTATGGTTATAAAAAATGCAGGGTGCCATGATAGAAAAAATCTCCCAAACCATTATGCAACACACCAGCTAAGGCTTTCCAGAGTTATCAGAAAGAATTTGTAACCAGCGCTCGATACTAGTATAGCGTGTTAATCGAAAAAAATTGATGAGTATCGAAATACGCTCATTTGCAAATTAGGAGACTCAGACAAGCCTCTGATTTGTTATATTCTCCAAATCAATGAGCTGCACGAAGGCCACCTCATGTTATAGTTGGTATGGTATTCGAGATATCGCAGTATATTTTGTAGAAATAAAATGTTGCTCTCGAGCCCACGACCGGTTTCGCTCTTCCTGGGGCTCATCAAGTAGGCGGAGGCACGCGGCTTTTGTGCAGAGAATGCAGTCGAAGAACAGCACAGTCTAGGGCATTGCTTGATTTCATCCGTCCTCTAAGCTGAGCGTTTAACTGCCAGGTCTTGCATTCTTAGAAACCCCACCTTGTTTTTTCGTGTAACGACAGATGCTGCTGGCGCCGTTGGTCAGAACGCTCTTTGGTTAAAAGACCCAAAAGGCACAACACTCTGCCGTCTACTCAGTAAGCGCAGCCATTGGGGAGCATTTTTTCCGTTAGCGCATCTTGAAAGTCCATGAAGCTCCGTAGAATAATGCGGAATTTAGGGGCTGAAAAGGTTCACATTCAGCGTAAAACTAGACACTATTTACGGATATGACATAGTGGCACGGTCAAAACGGTAGTCAGTAGAGCATGTAGACCAAAATAGGCCACACGTGGAGAACTGCGACACAATCAGAATGAACGATTTCGGGGCAAGATTCCCGAAGACCACAGTGCCCGGTTGGGCAAAGCGAAGATGTAAAGCTTTGACATTCTCAAGATGCGGTATATGATAGATTCCAATATTTTGACGCGGCAAAGCAATTAGAAAAAGGTGATGTAACTGGCCACACCCTCACAATGTACTGAAGGACTGAGACCACAGGAAACCGAGAAACCAATGAAAGAAGTAAACAAAAATGTGAATCCGTGAACTCACCAAGACAAATCGAAGATGGTATCAGTGTGGTGCCCGGATAAAGTGGCCAAACAAAACCAGTTGGAGTTTTTACATTTGTCGGTCCCATCTGAAAGAGAGATCACGTCCAAAAGCAAAACTGAAAGTCGACAGGAGACCGAAGAGTCTCGGACAAATCGGATCGATCAGGCTTTGTCGATCATTAAACGAGGTGGGATTATGAGTGAGGCATGTAAATATACTGGTACGTTCAATGGTGTGTCAAAACTGGACGTCTGAGAAAACGTTTAGTGAACTGGTTAACGTTGCATTTATTCAAAGGAAAGGATGCTTACTTGTCGTAGACCACAGTTTGATTGTCCGGTCATCGCTACAACTTGCCAAAAGATTGCCTTTAGGTGAAAACTCGGCTTTCCATACCGTAGAAGTATGGCCATCTGTCAACAGCAGAGCATAATGGAACAGGAATCAAGACTGTCAGATGGAACATACAAGCCAGAATTCTTGCGACCCAAAGGGCTACAGCTTGATGCGGTAAAAATGTCTTACTAGTCAAGCCCTGCTCAAAAACCGAAAAGATTTGCATTTTGGTGCAAACGTTTGCAACGTTTGTTTGTTTGCATTATTACTATTCATCTTTGATGCATACAAAGTTTGACATATTTGGCAATTCGAACTACTGACAGTTTATAAAAATTGTGAGTCGATTATTCAATCTATTTAATTTAACTGGCAGATTCAAGACACAAGACGGAATTGACCTGAGCCGTAGAGCCCAGCATTGTACAGCAGTTTTATCGTTGTTTAGAATCAACGATGCCCATCTCAGAGTCTCCAAGAGGCTCCCACTACAAAACCTCCCACCAATGATCTTGAACACCTTATCTGTGGGCTACGGATAGTTGACCTGTGGTGCAGCGATACGTACCTGGGCAGTATGGAGTATCACTAATAATTTAGTAGTCGCACAATGCGTCCAAGATTGATTTTGCCAAGTACAACTAAATTCTTCATTCCATCGCCTCGATTGGTGAAAAAATGTTTGCAATCCAACTGCCGACCTCGGTGAACTTCTTGGATAGCACAGATACATACACGGGTTCACTGGTTCAGATAGTTGTCGATTCCCCTGCCATCTCGGTCATCGCAAACAACCGATGACTCGCACCAAAACACAGCAAATGCTCAGTGCTCGGCAATTCAGCGTAGACCTACAAGGCTAAAATAATGGAACCCAACGACACTTCTCACAAAACACAGCGCCTCGGCCTGAGAGTAGCCCAACGGTGGCAATGTGTATGCTATGCACTTATGCTAATGAGGTTCAGCAATGGGGATATCACGTACAAATGATGGACACACCCGTGCCTCGAGACATTAAATGTCGGTAATTTACTTCGACTTCTTGATGAGTTGTGTCAGAAAATCAATACGCGAGGCAAACCATAAAATCTCAACTAGGTGTAACGATGAAGTAAAAAACAGTGTACAGGGAGACAGACTCACGCAACTGGACAACAACGACCCAGTCGTCGAGTTCCTCACGGTAAAGGTTAATGGTATTGTCATAGCTGCATGATACCAGAATCTGTGGGCAAATATAGCAATTAACTTGATTTGTAGGATGCAAAGAATCAAGAAAGAAAGCATAAAGGTACAAAGCGACATTAACCATAGACGTTTGTATGAGAAGGGATGCATGTACAAGTTGGTCGGAGTCTGAAAGAAGCCGTAAGAAACAATAGGACGGACAGTGTGAGAAAACAGTTCAGCTAAACAACCTTTCGCTGCACAGGTGCTTTATTACTGGGGAAGCAAGACAGCTGAGGTTTTGTCGGTTGCTCAATTATAGGCAAGTGAAATCTACAAACCATAAGTGGTCTGAAACCAGGGCCCGTTTCATCAGCAACTTGGACTACCTCGCAAGGACAACAAAATGGCCTTTAAAAATAACAACGCTTATAACGGGCAGGCAAGAGAACAAACTATGTGCACGAGGTTAGGTAGGTGTTAATCAGGAAGATCATGAGGATGAAAAGGAAATAACAGTGTTATGTTATTCCCAAAACCAGAAACTACATTCGCAATTTTACTTTACTCAACTCACTGGTCAGGGTGGGGGTCAGCTGCACGACTACCAAAAATAAATGTTCTGATTCGCAACGTGGGAGTTCCCCTTACAGTATGGTTGTCGTTTAAATTGGTATCCTCGGTTCGAAAATGTGACCCGTAGAAAATTGAAAGCATCCAGTTTACTTCCGCCAGGTTCGTATGTCCCTACAAATAGATGCCCGTCACCCAGAACTCTCTCATTCGCACGTTCACCGGCGAGTCCCAGTTGGTTAAATCTGATGTCTAATAGAGTCGCCATTATTGTTGAACTGATAAGAAAACCAAGTGATTTGTAAGCTGTCTGTGGGGTTGTTTGACGGTATGTAACATCATCAGCTATCTCGCTATACCAGTGATGGCACTGATGCTCCACTGCCGTGCAGCCCCACGACCTTTATTGGTTATCATGAAATTCTTGTGTGTCGTTCAGCTGTAACATTCTTTCGGTGCCTAGCTGCCATGCCACCCGGACGAAGCATAAGGTCTGGGATACTGTCAGGTTGCCCAAGCCCAGACAGGGGGGGTCGAGGGGAGAGGTCAGGTTCGAACCACGGACCTTCCGGTCAGTAAATTCGCGCTCTAACCACTTGAGCCATCCCTCCCCTCATGGAATCTTTGGAGAAAAATAAATGAAGGCATAGTGAAGGAACCTGGTGCTAGCCTAATAGTCATTCTGAGGTTCCTTCAGGCTCGGTTAGAGCGGGCAGTTCCATGAGAACCCATCCCAAAAAACACCCTAACTTTTCGTTGTCTCTTTCAAACCCTCCTACCAATTCACACGCTACCCAGCCCGCAGTTTTCGCCATTCGGAAAGAGGTTTGGAGAACAACACTCGTCCCAGCGCACGATTATTAAGCGCGAAAAGCAGATGGCCGAACCACTGCAGTTGATTATACTGGATGCTTTTCACGACTGAAGTACCCGCTGCACAGCCAAACATCTGTCGTATGATTAACCCGTTACGAATCTATTGATTTCATTCAATCCCAGCAACTCTGCTAAAGCTAACTCCTAAGCAGTCTCTCGGTGGCAACCTAACTCAGTTTTCAAACCCGATGCTGATTTCACTTCACAAGTTCGCTCAGCATCCAACAACGGAGCATCTCAATGAGATATGGCCGTCCCATCGCGGCAAAACGAAGACATTCTTAACCAGTATTCACACTTTCAGAATTCTACAAAACCGACTGAATCAGGCTGACTAGATGAAGCACACAAGCATAGACTGTACGTAATGCCACTTTCTAATTCCTGTCACGAGGCAGGTATAGGAAACCTACCTCCTCCGTAGGATGCCAGGACACTGATTTCACATCCTGACTATGGGGCTGTAAAACACTGACACACTGAACATCCTCCTCGTCGTCAAACTCCCAAAACCAGACACTCTTGTCTCGACCACAAGATGCCAACAGGTGCCCGGAAGCGGACCAGGCGACGCACTTCACTTCACTTGTGTGACCTTTGGGACCGAAACAAACAAAACAGAATGGAATTTACAGTCACGATCGCCGAGTATGCATGGATTACAATATAAGGAAGGCCTAGTTAGCACAAGTATCGGGCAAGTGACTGACGTTTCCCCGAAGCAAGATCTTCACTTGGAATGCACTTATAAGTTACAATCCGACATGAAAAATGCCGCGTTACGATGCCAATAGCAGAAAAAGGCCTCCTCATGAGTGTGTGATGACAACTAAATCATGGCACATGCTCGTAGCCTAACTAAGATAGATTGATCCGGTCCTTAGAGTCAACCTCTCGGAATCTCCATCAAACCTCGAGTTACTTTTGTCGTCGTATGTATATAGCCCTTAGTAATGAGGAATAATTCCACCGCATGACGGACTTTGAATTCAGCATTTGTGAAAATCCAACAGCCCGATCTTCACAGATCTGAATTCGGAATCACTGCAGTCCCAAAAAGAAATGATGAGTGTGAAATAAACTGAAACTTTCTCCAGCCTTACTGGGTAATATCGTTGGGCATCTAGTTACGCAACGGCTTCTATCCAACTCCGTCCAATTGGAACGACAAACAACCCGAATTCCGCCCAATGAGATGGAATTAGCATAGTTCCTATTCACAGAATGTTACTTTTGGAAGTTCTGAATGTTAACTATCTACAAAGTTATTTGTATAATATCCACACAGATGTTCCTCAAAACATGTCTGTTCAAAATAAAAGTAGGAGTTGTGAAAATAACACGTCACAGTTAATGAGAGCTCACGGGTGAAACCCGAGATCAAAATAAGATACACCAAAGTACAAGTTGCCATACTGTACTAACCAAGTGGAATATTGACCGGCCAAGTCCAAAAGAATCCACAGCAATTATGGATGTTGATAACCATCACTTGGAGCATAGGTCGGTCAACGTGCCTGCCACGTTAAAAACCATGACGTTTGAGATTAAGTCGTTTAGACCAAGCCGGAGAAGTCGGGAATTCCACAAAGGTATCGAGTCTAGATACCCAGTACTCATATCATAATCCCTGAGTTATACTGATAGCGAAAATAAAGAACTAACCGAATCACGCTTGGTCCCGTTTTTTCTTCTGACTAGGCGGCCTGTACAGCAATGGCTGAGTAATTACGTGATTAGGAATGTCCTGTGTAAGACTATACCGATTCAAGGAAGCAGTTTCCTGGTTTTAAATGTGTCAGATACGATCCGAATGCTCAGAGATTCAACAGTGTTGTATGTACCACCGTTATGCACATTTCTATACCATCTGATTTCTCTTGGAGCTTTTGTAGGAAGCTCGAAGAAAACAGTAAAACAAAGAAAATAAATACGTATTAACCCCTATCATCAGAGATGCTCAGTAAACGTCATATTCAATAATTAACCAATCGACTTCCAAAAAATCCATGTAACCAACAGCGCTCCTTTTTTCAAATCAATGCGGTCATTCGCCGAGCAACTATCCAAAAGAAATAGGGAAGAATATTCTGGTACATTTGATGGAAGTACGAACGGAACCAAATAATGCACATAACCTGAAATGAACATTTTATTATAGTCAATCCGATAACAAAGTTAAATGCTGCAGACTAGCTAGCTGTAACGTCCTTCAGAGGAAAGAATAGAAATTAGTGTTCAAAATAATAAAGGCAACAGTCAAAATGAAAGTTAACTGATGATATGCAAACCTTCCAAGGTGGCCAGTGCCTCCAATTCCACCGAAGTGTCATCACGAAGACACTTCCAAATAACGACCGTGCCATCGAAACTAGCAGTAGCCAAGTAGGTGTCACAAGGAGACCAGCTAATATGACGGATCGAACGCTTGTGACTGCCGGGGGCTACACAATACGAATTCCAAGATCCGTCAGCTGCTTCGGACCATAGAGAAATTGAACGGTCTTCACCGCACGAAGCAAGAATATCTCCCTTGTGTGACCAAGCTACGCACCAAACTCGGCGAAAACTCGCAGGAATAGACTTAACCTTGAAGACCGAGACCATTGATAGTGAAATGCGAAACGTGTCCCGTTAATTATGTGCCACAAAGTGTCCTAAAAAACAGTAAACAAAACGCAATTAACCGGTGGAAGGAGCAATGAATTGACCAGCAGTTGAGGCTGTCTATGCAAACAGACGTCAATCGGTACACATCTATCACTTTAAAGGTGAAGTAAACAGTGTTTCAGAAAGTTCCAGGTCCGCTCTGTATATGTGTTATTCATACACAGCTCGGACGAATCATGATTAAGTCAAACCATTTAACTGCTCGAAAGCAGTTAACCAACCCGAAAAAGTCCCGAGGCTTTAACCACCATATTGCCTAAAAGTAGACGACAAGATAACAATGAAATCGCGAGTTGGAGCTCCCGGCTCATCCTGGTCTGATCAGTCTGTCCTATTAAGGGCCACATTAATTAAACGGCCACCAAACGCCAAACTTGGGAATTCCTATCAGATATGTCCTTTTTGCTAACCATGTGTTGCTTGGATTATACAGCCTGAATAGTTCTGGAATCATCAGTTTGTTTGCGTAGACTGACACCGTTTTCCAGAAACTGCGTGCTGTTCAAAACCCGTGGAGTCTACCGCTTACTCTGTCGGGTTCCCAAAACAGTCTCCTTGTTTTCCCCAACCGCTGCTTCCTGAGCTGATCCAAGTATACAGAGGCGCAATCGTGCAGCACAGCTAGGCAGTCGGACCTACCAGCGCCTTTGAAGAGGATCCTATAATACGAGTAGTTGAGCATGTCGTCCGTATGGCCTGGGTCCATAATCCGTATAACACGGTGGCGCAATGAGCAGGTCTACAAACGACACACGTGATTCAAAGATATCTCTCTGCAGCACATGGGAAAAGTTTCTCTGATATTTGGATTCAATCCTCAGATGCGATATTAGATGCGGTAGGGGATCCGAGTTACTAATTCTTCAAAGTGCCTCGAAAGCAGAACCTCTCGGTGTGAGTAGTGTCCCTGTATCGTTGCACATCTGTTGGCCTTCACTCTGACTACAGCAACGTAGTTGCAGGGGGGATGGAACTCGTGTCGGGGGACTGTCAAAATGTTGACAGGGAGAGAATAGTAACACGCTGTCGCAATAAATGTTGCGCACTCGAATGATTGTGCCAGAAACAGAGAACGAGGATTGCCGAATGATTGGCTTTAATCTTCATCAATTTCAGTACATCAGCTAAAACAGTAGAAAACACAATTAGCTCAACGAATAGCGAGTAAAAAGTTAAACACAACGTCAGTATATAACATTCTTCTCCGCCGGAGGGATTATTGTTAGGAGAATATAAATCAGGCTTCGCGGTTTCGAAGATTATACGGTCGAACACGTTGTTGGTCTGTGATGTATTGTAGGACATTCCTTAGAACTTCACTGGGTTGTTCTGGTGGTGCCGTTTCGACTCCAGGAGGATCAAGCGAGTGTGATTGAGTCTCGTCTGGAGGAGCCACTACACTTTCGATTGATTCAGTTAAATAGGCATCTGAGATTTTCTGTGCTTTGGGTGTCAGATGTCTAAGAGAAACGGTTTCTTCCTTTCCGTTCGGGAAACGAACGCAGGCATACTGCGGGTTGCAAGTAACAAGTTCCACCTCTTCCACTAACGGATCGTATTTGGAAGAACGTGTCATCCTTTTTAACAAAACGGGGCCTGGAGTCGATAACCAAGTCGGAAGAGAGGTGCCGTACGTTGACTTCCGGTGGAAGTTAAGGAATCTTTCATGTGGTGTCGTGTTAGTAGCGGTGCACAATAAGGAGCGAACAGAGTGCAAAGCATCTAGAAGCACACATTCCCACTCGGTAATGTCCCGTTGTTGGGTCTTCAACGCCAGAGTGATAGACTTCCAAAGAGTACCGTTAAGCCGTTCGACTTGTCCGTTACCGCGCGGATTGTATGGGGTAGTTCGACTGGTTGCTACACCCCTGTCGTGAAGAAACGTTTGTACTTCACCTGACATGAAAGCTCCACCACGATCAGAATGGACGTATGAGGGCATTCCGAACAAAGAGAACAACTGATTAAAACACTTGATCACGGTGGATGAGGACACATCCGTACACGCGAAGGAGAATGGGAAACGAGAGTACTCGTCGATCATTGTTAGAAGGTATTTGTTGTGGGAGGTCGATGGAAGTGGGCCTTTAAAATCTATGCTGACGCGTTCAAACGGCTGTGTAGCTTTAATAAGATTGCCAAAAGGGTGATTGAGGAAACGAGGCTTCAATTCCGAACAAATACTACACTGATTTGTAATCGCCTTAACATCCTCGGTCGAAAACGGCAAATTTTTTGAGCGAACGAAATGAAGCATCCGCGTGATACCGGGGTGACATAATGTATTATGAAGATGTTTGAGATCCACCTGTGACATCGCAGATACGTAATCAGTCCGCGATAGTGCGTCAGCGGCTTTATTCTGATTACCTGGACGGTACTGGACATCGTAATGAAAACAGGACAGTTCAAGTCTCCATCTCTGGATTTTGTCGTTTTTTACTTTGCCTTTGTGTTGTTTGTCGTACATAAAGGCGACTGATCGTTGGTCCGTGACAAGTGTGAAGTGATTGCCGATCAGGTAGTGTCTCCACTTTCTCAGAGCTTCAACAATCGCGTACGCTTCTTTTTCGATTGCTGAATGATGCCGCTCACTGTGTGACAGAGTGCGTGAAAAGAAAGCTACCGGGCGCCCGTCTTGATTGAGAGTGGCCGCAATGGCTATGTCGGAAGCATCAGTTTCCACAACGAGTGGACGAGTGTAGTCTATGGTGAAAACGGCTGCCTTTTCCAAATCGTGTTTGAGCTTATTCAGTGCCGCTTGTACGCTATCTGGAATCGGGAAGATCTGATTGCGGACGATTTGATGAATCTTATCTGAGAAACATGGGATCCAGTGTGCGTAGTATGCCAGCATTCCGACCAATCTTCGTTGTGAACGGATGTCACATGGATGAGGCAACTCCCGTAGGGCTCGAAAACGTTCAGGATCCGGTTTTATCATACCATGAGATATTTCGTATCCCAGTAATAGTACTTTCGCAGTAGCTATGATGCTCTTTTTCTGGTTAAATGTAATACCGTGACGTTTTGAGGCCTCTAAGAATTTCTTCAAATTTCGATCATGTTCCTGGGCATCGCGACCACACACGGTAACATTGTCAACATATGCGAATGTATCGAGCAGATTTTCCTCGCGTATGATGTTGTCTATGGTGCGTTGAAAGCAGGCCACACCATTAGTAACTCCGAACGGAATGCGGCGAAATTGAAAGAGTTTACCACATGCCTCGAATGCAGTATATGGCTTGTCTTTGTCGAGAATGGGGATCTGGTGGTACGCACTTTGAAGGTCTAGTGTGCTAAACACCGTGTAATGGGAAACCTTCTCTACAAGTTCGTCCACCTTCGGCAGAGGATACGCATCAAGGTAAGTGAAGCGATTTATGGTTTGACTGTAATCGATGACCATGCGCTTCTTATGCCTGTCATTCGTAGTAACGAGAACCTGAGCGCGCCAAGGAGAGTTAGACGGCTCAATAATTTTGTCAGCTAGTAACTTCCGAACCTCCGTCTCGATAAATACCGTATCCGTGCGAGAGAAACGACGAGATTTAGTGGCAATTGGAGTACATCCAGGGGCGAGATTATCAAACAAAGAGGGGGCGTTAACTCTCGCTGCTTTCAATGTGCATATGGCGAATGGGGGCCGCTTACCCGTGAATGGTATGATGACACTTTGGTGTTGACTGAGGAAATCCAAGCCAAGGATGACGTCTGAACACAAATTGGATAAGAGCGAGAGTTTGACACTTTCGTATAGTGTGCTTTTGTACAGAACGGTAGCATAAAGATGACCGCTAGTAACACACGATAAGTTCGTTGAAGCCATCGAGATAGCGCTCTTAGAGGATGTTATTGTCCAACCATGCTTTAGTGCGATGTCAGAAGAAATATAACTTTCGCAACTACCAGTATCGATAAGTGCGTGAAGTGGGATATTATTCACTATAACATCAACGATTGATTTGGAAAGTCCCATGGATGAAGAGATGTTGAAAATGGATGAGACACCAGGGTTCACCGTCGATGTGATACGGCTTGAACCCAGTTTGGATCGACAAACTTTTTGGAAATGACCTTTCTTGCCGCAAGAATGACAGAAAGACTCACGAGCCGGGCATTTTGAACGAATGTGCTTACCGTTGCCACAGAAGAAGCAAGATAAGGATGTGCTTGCAATCGTGTCACTAGATTCCATCTGAGAGATAAAAGCATCACGAACAGGAGTAAGAGGCTTATCAGTTTTGATAGATGCGGCGCCACAGGGAACATGAGAAGACGAGTCGTATGAGAGTGACTGTTGTTGAGCATGTTCAAGCAGACGTGCCTCGTCAAAAGCTTGTTGAAGCTTAAGAGTGTGTTTTTCTAGTAGTCGTTGGCGAACGGAATTAGACTGCAAGCCTGTGATAAAAGCGTCTCGAATAGCCTCATCCCGATGTTCATCGGCAGAAACCGCACGAAAATTGCAGTCCTTGGCAAGGTAACGTAATTTTTGCAGGAACGCGTCGACTAATTGGCCCGGTTCTTGTTTGGTAGTAGCCAGCACGTGGCGGGAAAACACTTCATTTTTGGGTTTAATGTACATCTTTTCGAGCGTCTGGATGGCGTCTTCGTAAGTAGTACAATCACAAACATGTTGATAGACGGACGGAGAAAGGAAATTTACCAAAAGTTTTCTTTTGTCAACGTTTGGGAGTTCGATGTATGAGAGGAAGTTCGTAAACGTTTCGTGCCAATGGATCCATTGTTCTGAAGCAGAAGAGGATTCGGGGTCGGCGTCAAACCGATCTGGGCGAAACTTCCATTGCATTGTATTTTGATAGATTAAACTGTTGAGCACTCGAATGATTGTGCCAGAAACAGAGAACGAGGATTGCCGAATGATTGAATCTTCATCAGTTAAACACAACGTCAGTATATAACAATAACGTTGGTATTTTCCTTATCAATGCAAACATTTTTTTAA